GTGCTTTATGATTTGCAGTACTTAGAATTTTCGTCCTATCTATCTAACACAGCCACGTAACTTTCTTCGCCATATTTTAGCTTCTTAATTCTAAAATAGACTCTGTAGTTTCATTTGAATCATTACATGATCGATAGATTCCAAATAAAATAAAAATGACGTTAGTTTTCGTTTTGTGCAGCACCCTTTGAGAAAGTTAAGAAGTCAATAGTCTAACGAATGACGTACAAATAATAGTATTTTTTATATTTTCAAATTTTCTTTCTCGTAACAGTGGATAGCATGTTTTCTTCGTTTTCACTCAAAGATTTCTTTTCAAACTCTGTAGAATAGTGTAGTGTATCTAATTCATCATTTAGCATGATTTGTTTAGTTTCCGTGCACATCAGAAATTTGGTCAAATCAAGTGCATAATGTAAAATATCCTTTTCGCAAACATTTTCATATCCCATTTGAATATTTCATTCTATTGTTATCTCGTCCAAGAAAAGTGAACATATATAGTTAAAACCAGTTCACTAAGAGAAACTTCACTTATAGAAATTGGACTTGACGTATGAGTTATAACATTCTTCAGATGAGATCAGGATAGGATTAGGCAATTACAACACGGAATAAAAATGATAAAATAAATAGTATTTTATATTGTGCACTCAATTGGATCTAACATTTACGAGCCATACTGGCAATAGAAATAACTGATATTGATGAGTGAATTACATTGTTCTTTAGATGTTTCAATAGAGCTTTCATACAAAGATTAGCATGATAAACATAGGAAAAACGATATATTGAAAATAGCAGGTATCTTTCTATACAATACTTGTTAGTCTCAGACGCAAGGAAAATTCAAATATTTTTAGCTGAGTTTTCTGAAAGTATAGTCAACAGTGGAGTATCAATTTTTTGTATAAAATATTTGAGATAGCAACGAAGATATCTAGAAAATATATTGAGTCATATATATAGCAAGGAATCAGATGAAAGGAAAAACGATAAAACAAATACTACGACAGGGTGTGGGTGTGGGGTGTGGGTGTGGGTGTGGGTGAGGGTGGGTGAGTGGGTGAGGGTGGGTGTGGGTGGGTGTGGGTGTGGGTCATGGCTGCCAAACCTCCTGGTTTTTTGATTTTTCTCCTGGTCAAAAATTCTCCTGGTACCAGGAGCTGGTTTTTAATATATTCTCCTGGTTTTGACACTTTGTGCCTTTGATTTTAGTAACACTGTAAATAAAAAGGAAAGCGTTAAAAAAAAGAGAACAATGATCCTAGTATCAGCTGGATTCAGGCACCAATCAGATATAACTTCATTTCCACCAGATTTTTGTGAAAATTAGATAATGAATTTCGTAAGAAAATTTTGTAGCAATAACTTATGTACTTTTAGCTAAGAAGAAAGGATGATTGTGTATTTTTTCGATGTTTTCATCAGTAAAATGAGAGATCAGTTTGTTATCAAATTCGTTAGAGATCAATTATTTGCCTCGTTCTTGTCTATTTTGAAGCAAACTTTTTCTATTTTGTATAGTTTAATGATTGACTGTAAAATATATAGTAATATAAAGTACATGTAATACTTTTTCTTCTTTTCTTAGAAGCCACTTACAATATATGTGTTTGTGTGGTAAATTAATAAGATTAGATATATCCAGGTCAAAGTAAAGATCTTATTGCTAAACTAACTAACCCAAAATATGAGCTGCTCTTGGTGTGCTCGCATAGACATATTTGAATTTTAAGATGTTTAAGTCTATTTAGGGTCCTCTCAGTTCAAAATTTTAGCACAATTTATTATTGTTTTCCTAATGATTGGATAGAGCTTGTCAAGCCTTACTAGAAAATGTGTTTCAAATTAGAAAAAAAATTCATGAAGCTCAAAAATTGCATCTAGCCATCAGGAAAAAATAGTAATAAATTGCACTCAAATTTTAGATTATAAGCACTTTGCATAACTGTAAATACCTTAAAATTCGGGTATCTCCATCCGCGTTCGCCAAAAACAGCTCATGCTTTAGATTTATTTGTTTGGACATAAGATCTTTAATCTGACCCGAGTGCATCTAATCTTATTAGCTTAGAACACAAAAAGCCTTCATTGTTAGAGAAAGATTTCGTTTTCACTCGAGAACAAGAAATAAAGAACCGTTTTTATGAAAGAAAAATTTTAATTTACTATACGATAGACTATGGGACAGCTTTTTCATCTCAATAAAAATCTCCTGGTTTTTCTACTGGTTTCCGGTAAAAAACTTCTGGTGAACTCCTGGCTTTTTTGCAAGAAACTCCTGGTTTTTTAAATTTCGATTTGGCAGCCCTGGTGTGGGTGTGGTGTGGGTGTGGGTGTGGTGTGGATGTGGGTGTGGGTGTGGGTATGGGTGTGGGTGTGGGTGTGGGTGTGGATGTGGTTGGGTGTGGATGTGGATGTAGTTGGGTGTGGGTGTGGTTGTGGCGTGTGGATGAATAGGTGGCCCACACCCACACCCTTGTTTTTTAATACAACCTATTAAGTGATTGAAACATTTAATCGGCTTCACCCGTTAGTTCAGTTTATACAAAAGTAGTTCTCATCGAAATTTTATTATTATGATATTAGATGAATAATGATTAAATAGTGTAGAAATGTAGAGCTTTGTTTTTACTATCAGTCTATATAGAAAAGAAAATTTCTTCAAACTTCTGTAAGAAATTGGTATAGCACCGTAAAGACTTTTGGTATGACCTAAGTAGAAGAAACCAAAACTCAAACGATAATGTTAGGAAATAATTTCGAAATAGATAGAATAAAATCAATAGTAGAAAATTTGAACTGAATACAAAAAGCAAAACAATTTGTATTGGAATATATTAATACATCGTATGAACTATCTAAAAATGTAGCACAAGTTAAATTAATGATTGAACATCGATTAAAACGTTTCTTAGATGAAATTCAAGCACTTATCTATATCAATAATTTTTATGAAGCCGAACCAAAAATAGCATTAATAAGCTTAGTACGTACTTTATTAGGTAGCTGTTGTACGAAACAGATTTCCGATGAGATCGAATTAATAAAAGAGCGTCGAAATAAAATTGTATTAGATGAAATAGTTGCAAAATATTCCGATGTAAATATTGGCAAATATATATTGAATCCACCAATAGATATATTTGAAAAATTAGGACAAGTTAGAAACATAAATCCAATATATACTCAAGCTTGAAATAAAAAAAGAGAAAACATTATCAATAAATTTAGACGAGAACTAGAATTAACAAAGTCAGTAAAGTCTCCAAATCTGAGCAATATTCATATAAGAAATTTTGAATTTTCTGTTAAGCATTTACCAGAAACCATAAGAAATGTTCTTGAAGTTGAATTGAAACACTGTAAGGAAGATATTAATTGTATAATTCAAAATATTAATAATTAATTTTAGATTATACTTAATAGTAGAGATTAAAGGTGCACCAAATTTCTGTTTTTGAAAGTCCTATAACTGTGTCAGAAACTATCAGATTTTTGTTCTTTTTCATCTTAGTTTAATTGCCTGAATCTAACCTTAAAAAAAAAAGAAAACTGGTAGCTTCTGACTCAGTTACTGATTTTACCAATGTTACACTTTATACTTTTCTAAGTTTTATTAGAAATAACTTTGAAATTGTTTTTGAATATGTAAATTTGTTAGAGCAAGAATTTTTCTACAAAATGAAACACTTGTGAGATCTGAGAGGGTTTTGAATTAAAATAGATCAACATTTTGAACAAAATTATGTTGACGAAGCATTCGATAGCGTAAAAAAACATCTGAATATAAAAATGATTTAGAAGATATTGTCATCCATATTAGATAAGCATGTTATAACGTACAATCTGAAATAAAAAAATAAATAATCAATTTTTACAAAATATTACAACTGAGATCACTAAGTAAATAATTAAAACTAGAAAAATGTTTTTCTTTATTTAATCGAATTTATCAAGTTCACAAATAAGTCAAAAGATTAGTCTATTTTAATTTACATACTTCTAGAATATTTCAATGAAAAATTAATCATATTGAATAGAATAACTAAAAATTAGAAAAAAATACGTATACTCCTTTGGTGTTTGGCAAAAATAATCTGATATTTAATATAAAAGATGATATCAGGATTGAAAATAGTAATGATTATTTATATGTCATTAGAAGAGAAATCGATGATAGATTAGTAGAATAGTCATAAGAAATATGCGCCGTATTAGCTTTTTCTGAATCAAAACAAAACCTAAAAGAATTCTATGAGTCAAAGGCTTTGGAAACAATAAAACAATCAGTTGTCTATCTAACAGAAGAAGCATTTTTAGAAAAAAAGATACAATTAAAGGTCTCACTACGTCTTCTTAAATAACTTTATTCACTAGAGAAACAAGATGATTATGAATCTTATAGTATAGTGCTACTTGATCGTAATTTAGAGAAATTTCTCATTCAGAATGATAATACTGATGATGTTAAGAAAGGTAAAAGAGTTTTAATTCATAATGCAGGTGCGGTTCCTGTGACAAAAACTTATGATGGGGATATCCAAAAATTTCGATCAAGCCTCAAGTCTGGAGATGCCAGTTCCACCCGAATATTGTTTCTCATCAGTTACAAACAGTTTGCTTAATAGATGCTAAAGGTTCAATGTCTCATCTATTGCATAAATATAAAAACATAGTGGAAGCTATGGTTAAGTGTATTACGGTAATTCTTAGAGAACAAAGTCACTGAAAACTATTCCGGTGCATGTTTTTTTTTATCGATAAACGTATAGAAGCCATTTTTAAAGAGATTGCTAAGAAAACCGATGGAAGATGCGAACTGTTAAACATAAATTCTCTTTCAGGTGCAAAAATGTTGACAGATTCAGTGACACATGTTACCAATAAATGAAATTCTATCAACTTAATTAAAAATCAGCAGAGTCCATACGTTCATTTGTTGTTCTATTTCATTTTGAAGTTTCTTTCTAGCTTTGTCGTATATTATTTTTGTTCATTATACTTTACATGAAGTTGTATGTTTCTTTTTTTCATTCGATTGGTCGTCTTAGTTTTTTTTATTTTTTTTATATCAAGTCACTTTTGTTTATATTTTTTTGTTCAATATTTTTATGATTAAGTTGTAGCACCTGTACTATGTTACAATATGTAAGAATCTTTTCTATGTATTTACATTTCCTATTCAAATGTAATTCTGAATAAGACTTACAATCACAAAACATTGTTTTAGAGAATGCAATAATTATAATTACTGATTTGTCTTTATATCAATGTATTTTGTTTCTCAAAACAAACTACAATAAGAACAAAATCCATAAAAACAATTAAGATGATAATTGAGAATGCTCGACAAAGATGAATAACTTGAAATCGAATAAACTCAATGCAGCAAGAGTCTTGAATATAAATAAAACAACCAATTGACATCGATTTATTTTAAGATTTCCGTAATAAATGTTCTATTTGACACGAATTTGTTCAATATATCAAGTGCTAGAAAGTAACATCGGAAGACACTCTCATTAAAGTATTGAAATGTGCAGTCAAAAAATTCGGCAAAATGTTGTTTTACAAAGTTGTTGATATTGAACTGTCGGTTTGAAGCATGTATTACAAAATGGTGGATGCTATCTACATGAATAAAAAGATACCATTTCGCAGAGAATTAAAAGACAAATCTTTAAAAAGGGTGTGGATGTGGAGTGTAGTTGTGGGCGTGGGTCTGGTTGAAGATAACAATCACGCAAATAGAAACAGCTACATTAACACCCACACCCATCCAGACCCATACCAGCACCCGCATCCACACTCGCACATCCACGCCTATCCGTACCCACATCCATTCTCACTCACACACACCCCAGCCACGTCGACACTCACACCCTCTTTTTTATTGTCCAGAACAAAAAAACTAACACACATTTAGTCAGATCAGATCCCTTGTCTAAATCAAAAGAAATTTTTCTGTGCTTTTTGCTTCCAATGTTCTATACTTCAGCGTTAGTGTAGTGGAGTTTGGTAAGTTGATGGAAATCTTCAGAAAAACTCGTCCCTATTTATCGTACATTGTGCTACTTCCACACGATTTCCCTCTCTTTTCTTTTGACTAAAATTCGACAACATCTGACCGATTTTATCTTATAGACCGTGCAAAGTTATGTAGAAATTCGTAATTCTTTTCGAAACTCATTCGTTTTTCCTTTTACCTAGAAGCAGCATACAAAATCTATTTCAAACCGGCTGTTATGAATCATGTGTTACTAAACATATTCTCTTTTTTCCATTGTAATTTTTCTGTTCGTTTTACTGCTCTATGCACTATGATGATAGATGGTTCATTTTCCTGTTCTTGTCTTTTATTAGATATTTTCATTCGCACGGTGGATAGATATTTCTCCTCATGCCGGTCCTGAAAAGTACCAATGTTATGATTTGTTCATAGGTTTATATATATGTGTGATTTATTGCAATAAAATATGCACACAATAGTTAGAATTCATTACGTAAATGAATTACAACATCATTTATATACGTACCAATTTTAAATGAAGAGCTTCGTCTATGATAATAGGTCGTTTAAGACACTCTCGTTCTGTTGTATTTTGGCAGACCCTGGTATCAAAGAATGTGGGTGTGCGTGTGCGTGTGAGGTGTGGGTGTGGGTGTGAGCGCATATCTCCATCTGTACCGCTACCAACACACCCACTCACACCTGCACCCCAGACACACACCCACACCCTCACCAACACCCATCCACATCCGCACTCACACCCACACCCTCTCTCATTTTAAAAATTTTTTGAAAATTTTTGAAAACTGTGCTAATGTTTACATAGTAAAGGTGTGAAAATTGAATGATTTTAAGATACAAATTTGCTTACCTCTTATTTAGTAGCATAAAAGTCTCGAAATCCCCTTGAAAATCCTTTCAAAAAACTCTTAAAACCTCAAAAAATCCTTTCAAGTATCTAGGAAACTATTGGCACATGCAACTATTAAAAGATAGTGGGATCTAATAGAAGCTTCTTACAAACATCTTGAATACTTGGACACTTTAGAGGCTCCGAGGGGCTTCTATTATGGGGGCGAGTTTATGTTAGAAGCAATAGGAGCAATATTGAATTTCCATTTATCAGAGCATTAGAATGTGTGCTTTTCGTCTTTAAATTAATGCGGAAAAAAGTACCATCTGTGTATTAGATATAAAAAGCGAGAAACCTTTACAATATTGCTTCATTTCAACACAAGCAATGATTAGAAGTGTCATCTGTTATTTCGTTTTCGTTCTTCTTAGGTAAATACCATTGATTTTTATTTTTTATTCTTCTAACATTTATCGGTTTTCTATTCTAGCGTTACAATCACTACTCAGCAGTTCGGTAAGCTTTATATAAACGCGTCTTAACTCCACTAGATGCGAATTTTAAATCAGATATATGCAGTTATTTTGCATCTAATATTAATCTGCATTAGGAGTTGCACATTACTACTGCTGATGATAAGTAATAACTAATGATGTTATTACTTATTACCAGTAATAAATAATAAAAAACAACCCCCCCCCCCCCCCAACAAAAAAAAATTAATAAAGTAATACACAAATAAGATGGTAGAAATACTTCTAATCATTGATTAGATTTCCAATACTTCATTAAAGCATTATGGTATCGTTAGATTTCATTTTCCCAACATAAAATGATCTCAATATTTATATACAGGCTCTCGCTAGTGCATACTGCACGGCTCCTTTCTCCTTTAACATATGACCGCAGACTTTTAACTTTTAATTCGGTAACAGACATACAGACACTCGATATTATCTATATAGATAGATAGCCCTAAGACCTCATACTCTTATATTGCACATATTTTTATAGCTCAGGTAGCTTTGCGACCTTACAGCCTTACTCCTTATTGCCTTACTCTCTTCAGGGCCTATAAGGACCTATGGATACATCATAGGATAGTCCTTGAGAACCTATGTGTACCCCATATAATAGCTCTTGTAGCCTTTCCCTTATAGCCTTATTTGACCTTCAACCCGGCATAGACAGACACATCCACACTTATATACTAAACAACAAATATATAGATGTGAAAAGAGCGAGAAAGCTAGATTTCTTCAATAAAAAAGCATAGAAGCATATTTCACACATCATTGCAGCAGATTGGAAACAGTTTTCTATCTTAAAGTCGCTGTTTTCTTTTTACTCTCTGTATATGCATCTATATGAATTGCCACACAGATAAAACATTCCGATGCAGACGTAAAAGAAAATAAATCGATCGCGATGACTTTAGTAACATGGTGGAACTATTGAAGAGAAGTAAGATTGAAGTCTATTTAAATCAATTCAATCAACACCCGATAAGATTTGATAAAGTCATCAGTTATGCCGTCATGAGTTAATATCACTTCTAGT